GCCATGGCCCCTGTGCTCAGTGCCCCCGCATTTGCCCTCCCAGCTGTCCTCCTCCTCCTCCTCCTCTTCCTCCTCGGCACAGCTGCCTCCCCCTGCGAGAGCGGGCAGCTGCCGGCCCCGGGCAAGCATTAAAGCACCTGTCCTATGGGGGGTGCAGGCACGACACCCACCCCACAGGGTGACCCCCAGGGCTTGGGACATGTCCCCACTGTGGGCCACCCTCGCCCTGCGCCTTCACCAGAGGGAGCAGCCCCAAAACAGCAGGTGCCCCTTGCAGAGCCCCAGTGCTGCAGCCCCTCCAGCCCCCCGAAGCCAGGAGAAGGACCCCAGTGTCCCGGCTACCTGCAGCATTGCTCCCCCAAAGCCTGCCCGTTCCTGGTGGCAGGGAGGGAGGAGATGGGACCCCCAGGGTCCCCCCCAAGCAGCGGGAGGAACGCCTGCCCTTGGCCTGGTTGGGCTAGCGGTGTCCTGGGCTGGCGGGAGGGGAAGCGCCCGGGTGCTCAGCGGGGTTTTGTTGATGGATGGCTCTGTCCGGGGGGTGGGCAAAGCGGGGGGAGCAGAGGCACATCCATAAACAGCTCGAGTTGTGAATGGAAAGAGACGGATTAGGAGCCGGGTGAAAACATGTCACACGGCGGAAAGAAAAATGAGCAGCTGGGCCGGACCAAATTGGTGTCTGATGAAGGACATGGGGCCTGGTGGAAAAAGGATCCAGGGGCCGGCGGTGCTGCTCGGCAGAGGCTGATGGGGAACAGCTGGAGCCGGACACGCACATCTGGCGGAGGAGGGCGAGGGGAGCAGCAGTGGCGCCGATAACCACCGCACCTCCGGCCACCTCGCTCGGGGCGCGGGGCCGCAGCTCGTCCCCGGCTCGGTGCCTCGAGAGGGGGTGGCTGCTGCCTTTTCAGGTTGGTCCTGGGGAGGGGTGGCAGCGCTGTGGCCCATCCCTTGGCAGGGATTTACCCGGTGGGGTTCAGGCTCTGCCGTGCCGAGGGGTCCCCAGGTGGAGGAGCTGCTGTCTCTTCCTCCATTTGCATACATGTAAATAAGCAATCAACATAATGAGGGTGAATGCAAACCAGGCTTTCAGTTTGCAACCAAGTCCTATTTTTAACCTTGGAAAAGGGTTTCGGCAGGAAGCTGCAGGCCCGGCTCCCGTACCTGTCGCCACGTCCAGCTGCGTGGGTGCTCGCACCCATCCCTTACCCCCAGGCGCTGCTGACCCCACGGCCACCAGTGGGTCAGTGCTCACCGGACTCCGCTCCCGTTGCCTAAGGAAAAAGAAATCTCCCATCTTTGCAGAAATATGGTCATCGTGCCCCAGCTCGCGGGACCCTTTTCGGGTGGCTCTCCCACCCACCAAGCTCCCAGGTCTCGCTTCGAGCTGGGGCGCATGCCCAGGGAACCCCCCCAGCGGCCCAGGAGTGAAGCCCCATGCTTAAACATGAGGGGTATATTTGGATGGCGTCAATTTAAGTTTGCACATCAACCTTATAAATATGAAAGCCCATCTCGGCGAGATGTTTAAGATACCTCATCAGCCCTTGGAAAATATGCAGGAATATTAATTAGCCAGATTTGGGTATTATCTCGTAATGAATAAATGAAGAGACTCGCTGCCTAAGATGAATCACTGGTGGCTCGCTGGTTTTTTTGGTTTGGTTTTTTTTTAAGAAAAGTGTGTTTCTAAGGTAATTCACTCTTTTTAACCCAAGGGAGGGCCTGAGGGGATGCAGCCATGCCGGGGCCGAGCCGGGGGGGACAGCTCGGGGTGCCTGTTAGATAGAGGGGCCCCCGATAGCTGGTGCTGTAGACCCCCCCGATTCACCCCCAGCTGGCTGCACCACCTCTGGGGACAGAGGGACAGGGACAGGGTTGGAGCCCTGCCCGGGCTGCAGCAGCCCCAGGCTCAGGATGGAGGTGGAAAGTGCAGCCTTAGTTCTTAAAAACTTATTTTTGACTTCTTTCCCTCCCACCCTCCTGCTCCGCTCCCCCGGCTGCTTCACTCCCTCCAGCCGGGCCAGGATGGGAACTTCCCGGTTGCTGTAGAAACCCGGATGAAGGACACGCTTCAAACGAAAATGCCAAACAAGAAATGGCTTTGTGTGTGCTGGACAGTGCTCTGCCACACCAGGATGTGGTGACTTTGGGGCCCTTCTTTCGGGGTGCCTGCATGGCCGGGTGGGCTGCAGGGCTGGTGGAGGCTCCCTGCCAGCCCCAAAACCTTGCCTTGAGCAGCGAGCAGAGGCTGGGGGTTCCCAGGGAAGAGGCTTTGAAGGTCTCCGTCACCCATGGGGCGCTCAGAGCTTCGCTGCACCCAGGGACGCAGCAGCCATTGGGGTTTTGCCAACCTCTCCAGCTCTGGCACCCTGGGCACCATCTCCCCAAACTGGCCTTAGAGCTGAGGCACCCCTAGGACCCCAAGGGGCATCGCCACCTGGTTTGCAAGATTTTGGGGTGTCAGAGCAGTTTCCAGGTGGTGGGAAGGGGCTCAGGGCTGAGCAGGGGACAGCCCGGCTGGAGGTGGCAGAGGATGCGGAGACCAGCACGAGCCTCAGGGCCCGGGCTGGATGGCCGGGCTGGGGGGGCCGGGAGCGG